CTCTCGTAACTGGATCTTATGGACCCGGCTCTTCTTTTTTTTTTTTTTTTTTTTCGGTTTTGTTTTCTTTTGACCCAGCTCTTCTTCTCATTCTTCTACTGTTGGAAAATTTGCGCCTGAGGGGGTGGTTCATCCTCTGCTTCCGTTTTTTCTGTCTATTTTTGTGCTCTATTCCATCTCCGAGTTGGAGTCGGTACTCGCACTAGGACTTTTTCCACTCCTCTGTGGACGTAATTGCGGTCCGGTGCATCCAGGCCGGGTCGGAAACGGGGTCATGTACAGTACAGGAAAGTCCTATTGTGAGTATACATTGTCTTATTCTTACCCCCTATTTCATCTCTGAGCTCAAGGTTTTTTCTTTACTGAACTGGGATCCGACGCGCCTCTGCTTTTTTCTTCTCGCTATTGTCACCCCGGTCCTTTTTCTTCTTTTTCTTGGAATATCATCCCTTCGTCGTCCGTTAGGATCATGTCCTCTGTTGTCATTCTCATAGACTCTACTTCAACCCTTCTCCCTTCTCCTCCCACTCCTGTCTTTGGTGAACATCTTCGTGTTCCGTTTACCTGCTCATCTACATCGCTGCCTGCCTGTTTCCGTTCCCCCGCGCCTCCGGTGCAGCTTATTATCCATTCACCCAATCGTCTTTTTTTTTTTTTTTTTTTGCCACTTCTCTTTCTTTTCCTTATTTACATGTAAGGTGTGTGCGGACCCTATTTCGTGTCAAGTGATCTTTGAGCTGTATCGTGGACCTTCCCTCCTCGAGTGTATGGGAAGAGAGAGAGAGAGAGAGAGAGAGAGAGAGAGAGAGAGAGAGAGAGAGAGAGAGAGAGAGAGAGAGAGAGAGAGAGAGAGATGAGGTGGTGGGAAAATCTACAGACTAGGTGAGAGTGTATGAAGTCTTGGTGGTGACGTTGGTGGTGGCGATGGCTTTCCGTCTTTCTGCGAACGCAACGCGCCCTTCTTATCATGACTGTATCGGACCGGAAGAGCAGCTTGTATACATTCTTGATCAGTGCGCGTGATGTTCGGGGCGAGGACGGGTAGCGTGTATTTGAGTGGGAACGTATCATTCCATATGGCAAGTTGCAATCTCTCTAAACTACGCAACCTGATCTCGAATGTATACAAGTCTCCACCCCGATACCGTCATGAAAGGTCCAGTAGGATTTTCGTGCTCAAAATTGGAAAGGCCAGTAGTATTTTGTTATTCAAAATTTGAATAGGAACCCTTCGTCTCGACGTCTGATTGCCTTCAGCAGCGGATTCAGATACATCCCGGCTTATCCCGGCTTAGCGATGACGGTGCAGGCAACGTCGCGAATTCCCGCCAAAAGATGAGCCGGGCGGTCAAATTTGTACCATTGCGCGCCGGCAGCGTGTTGTGCCTGGCAATGGCGGGTAGATTCGCGCCAAGGCAGAGTGTGCACCAATGCGCGCCTAAGCAAAGACTTTGCGCGATGCGCGCTAAGCGAAGTGTTGCGCCCGGTGGTGGCGCTTAGATGCGCGCCAAGCCAAACTTTGTATAAGCCCGCCGCCAAGTGACGGTGCGCATGTGCGCACCAAGACAATTGAGTGATAAGCTGGCGCGCTCGGCGTGCAGGTCACCGCTACCGCCGCCGCCGCCGCCATCGCGAAATTTCTATGGCAAGCGATTGCGCGGATAGGCGCGCCAAGCCAATTGAGCAGCGGCATTTCGGTTCGCAGGCAGAGGGCTGAGCGCAGCGCTGCGCTGCGCTCGCCAAGGGAGCAACGAGGGGAGGTGATGCGCTGCGCAGATGCGCGCTGCTCAATGATGCGATAACCGGGGGAAGCGCAGATGTGAGCGCGAAGTCTAGCGCGAATGGATTGCATAAAAATCCTCAGGCGAAGATGCGTGCAACGTAAGGCCACGTGGCAGTGCCAAGTCAGATTCCCGAATCTTCATGTGGAATGGCTCAGCGCAGATGGCTGCGCGCACCGCGCCAAGCTGGCAACGCGGTGGCGCGCAGTGCGTTGTATCCAGCGATCGCGCGCAGATGCGCGCCTATCCACCGCAGTCGGTGGGTTGACCGGTTATCGCCACAGCCGTGACAGCTAACTGGTCTTACGCTCTACAGTGTAGGTGACTCGAGCGCTTGAATTGAATGCTGTGGTCCCCACCAGGAGATTGGATTCATCTGACTCCATCAGGATTTGAACGCTGACTCAGGCTGTAGTACGATCCGGGGCGTAAGCAAGGCCGACACAGTTTTCCTACATATATCGCCAAACAGAGCTGCCCGGTAAACCGTAGGGGCAGAGAGGGTTGAGGGAGAATTAGTGATAAACAACGAACGAGGGCTGTGACAAACTGATTCGTCCGAGTTTCACCGACTCATCAATCAGTAGAGGCTGAACCCTCAAAAACAGTCTGCAGAATCCCCTAACTGGCTGATTACACTGCAAGTGATAATCCACCTTAACCCCAATTGTGGTTAAGCAACAACGACTGCCCGGCAATTGATACCTCTCTGAGGTGGTGGTGGGGACCACCAACCACTGCCCTCAAGGTACCTGTGACGAAAATCAAAGCAGACTATCACTCACCCACACCAGATGGAACACTCTACAGTCTGTCGGCTCACACCCCATCGCCAGCCAGCAATACACCCACGAAACATGCATACGATGAAGGCGGTGGCCCCCATGAGTGGATTGGATTCATCTTATTCCCTCAGGATTTGAACTGATGATCTGTTCACTTCCAGTCCGTGTGGGTATCATTCAGTCACATGGGCTGGGGTTTGGCCGACGCGCACTGCCAATCTCAGGAGGTGGAGTGGAAGCAGCAGCAGCGCGGAGCGGAGCACTGTAATTGCTGTCAGCGTTTGGCTTCAGCGATGATCTGTAATTGCTGTCAGCGTATGGTCCAGGCACTCCGGCGTGGCTCATACGGCAGTCGCTTGCTTGTGTTTTTTTTTTTTTTGTGTGTATTACCGTATCCCGTATGTTTTAGTTTTTTTTTTTTTGGCGTGGGGGGTTGGCGCAGGGCGTGTTGGGTAGAGTATGAGCGGGAGGAAGAGAAGAGAAAGAGAAAGAGAAGAGTGTCTCTTTGTTTCTCGTCTCTGATCCGTCTTTCCGTCTGCCTTCACTGTCCGTTTGCTGTCGGCAGGGTTTTTTTTTTTTTTTTTTTCCTGAACTGTTCTCCTTTTTGTTTTTTTCATAATCTCTCTCGGTGTTTTTTTTTTTTTTTTTTTTTTGGCATTTAGAAAAAGTGATTGCAAGCGCGACATGCAGGCATGCACGTCTGCCATCGGCGTTAGCTGCTTGTAAGATTTCTCTGGCTCTTTGTTTTTTTTTTGCCTTTTGTTTTTGCGGTGCCCTTGAGATAAAACATCATTAACTGACTGACAGAAGGTAACAGCGAATGATTTTATTCTGTGCAGCTGATTGCATCTGGATTCGAAATCGGGTCTGTATTTCAACAGTCCGTGGGTGAGCTACAGTAGGCTCACTGGTATGCCCTTTTTTTTTGGCTCGTGCTAGACAATGGATGCCATTTTCTTTTCTTTTTCCTGAAAGGGGGGGGGAGGTCACCTTCCCGATGGATGTCATTTTACGGGTTTGTAAAAAATAGTGAAAAAAAAAGAAAGGATGTCATTTTCTGATCGAGGCAATGGAAGCCGAGGAGAACTGGAAAATGAAGGATTGTGTGTAGGTAAGATAACTGGGGGGGTTCTGTTTTTTTTTTTTTCCCTTTCTTTTTCTTTCTATTTTTGGTGCTGCCGGGGTTGTTGACGGAAAGAGGGGCGGAAAAAAAAAAAAACGAGAACAGCCATCGCTTCTGCCAAAATGGGCAAGTATCCACCTTGTCCGTCCGATTTTCTCCATCTGGCCGATTGCTTATGTGCGTGTTTCGTCTTCAAGTCACCGCCTTGGGCGAATAGAAGTAAATGGGCAACGGAAGATGATAAACAGAGAGCGTGGAGGCGGTGGGTGATTGGTTTCTGTCGTAGGAGATGAATCTCTCCTGCTTTTTTTTTTGTGGAGATGGATCTCTCCTCCCTCCCTCCCTCGGATCCGAAGTTGTGTTGTTTTTTTTCCCCTCCCTTTTGACCCGGGATTGTAATCTCACGAAGGGAATTAGGAAAAAAAAGAATTCCGACTCCATTTGCCTGCTGTGTCTTACTTTTCCTCTCTCTCTTTCTTTCTCCCTGTCTCTCTTCTCTCTGTGTCTCTCTTATTGCCCTGTTCTCTAATGTCTCGGTTTTCTACTGTGGTATCATTTGCCTTGTGTCTGTGTCTTCCTCTCTCTCTCTCTCCCTTCTCTCTATCTCTTCTCTGTCTTTCTCTCTTCTCTCTCTCCCTCTTATTGCTCTACCTTCTCTAAAGTCTCGGTTTCCTACACTCTTTCTCTTTCTCTCTCTCTCTCTCTCTCTCTCTCTCTCTCTCTCTCTCTCTCTCTCTCTCTCTCTCTCTCTCTCTTATTGCCCTATCTTCTCAAACGTCTCCGTTTCCTCTCTCTCTCTCTCTCTCTCTCTTATTGCCCTATCTTCTCTAACGTCTCCGTTTCCTGCTCTCTTTCTCTTTCTCTCTCTCTCTCTCTCTCTCTCTCTCTCTCTCTCTCTCTCTCTCTNTCTCTCTCTCTCTCTCTCTCTCTCTCTCTCTCTCTCTCTCTCTCTCTCTCTCTCTCTCTCTCTCTCTCTCTCTCTCTCTCTCTCTCGGTCTTTCTCTTGTTGCTCTCTCTCCTCTAATGTCTCGGTTCTACTCTCTCTCTTTCTTTCCTTCTCTCTGCGGTATCATTTTCCTTCTCTCGTGGGGTTTCTCTGAACATGCGGTGCCCTGCAGGCTTCTGCTGTCTTCACTGTTTTCCCTTTGTCCGCCTTTTTTCCGTTGTCGTAAAGGTGTAAGATCTGATCTCGGCTTTTTTTTTTTTTTTCATGCTTTCCATGTCAGTTTGCATCGCCGGTTCTCTTTGTTTGTTTGGAGATCAATGCAAAAAGGTGCCTCTGAGAAAGAAAAGCTGTATTGTGTGTATGTAGATCCCTAAAACTCTACATTCTTGAACTGCAATTATCTCTTTTTGTTGATCAACGATAATTACAACATCTGGCAAATTTGATTGCTTTTTTAAAAATGCTTTCTATGTCAATTTGCATCTCCCTTTCTCGTTTCTCCCCCTTCTTTGATACTGTCATCCTTTTCTTTTTTCTCTCTCCCCTTCCACTTTCTTATTCCTCTCTCTGTATCTATCTCTTCTAGCTCTGTTGCAGCCTCCCTACCTCCGCCTCTTCCTCCCTGTCACCCCTTTCTCCTTACCCCTACTCCTTTCTCCATCCTCTCAACCCCAAACCCACAACCTCCACCGCAAATCTTGTATATTCGATTCTTCTGATTCACTCACTCGTCGCAATTGCTATTTATTGTCGACTGGTCTCTCTCTCTCCATTTTGTCTTTCCTCTCTTTCTCTCTCTCTCTCTCTCTCTCTCTCTCTCTCTCTCTCTCGTGCACCTCCAGTTTATCGTGCGAAGTTCCTTGTGCACAACATTTCTCCGACTGCTGCTCTGTCTTTTGTTTTTCTACCTTGATGCACGGCTTCACTGCTCTCGGAGCTATGGCTATTCTCTCTCTTTCGCTGTGTTGGTTTCTCTGTCTGTCTGTCTGTCTCTGTACCGGTGTCTTTTTGTCCGTCGTTCTTTGCACACTCTCTCGAGTCTCTATGGTGTTTTTCTTTTGAAGTAGCTCACGCTATTAGAGAGAACATGTACGTCACATTTGGCTTTGGCGAAGTTTGGTCCCAATTTTCTGTGGGTGACAACAGTTAGGGTTCAGTATCTATCCGGATTTACACGAGTAGGGGTGGTTTTCTGTAGCCAGGAAAAAAGCTTGCATGCATGATCAATAAGTAGTCAAGCAACCAATCAGTCATTCACGTCGTAGATCGACCAACTGACCAACCAATCAACTAATTAAGCAGCTAAATTGGCCTAATCAATCAGGCAGTCATTCAACTCTGTCAGCTTATGTAGTTGAACCAATGCAATCAATCAAACCAATTCGTGTATCCAATCCATCCACCCAATCCAATTAATTTTTATTTATTTTTTATTAATTCTTGTAGTAGGTAAGAATACTGTGTGACATTTGTGTACACGTACATCTCTTGAGAATTACTCGTTCCTGTGTGACAATATATTTCTGTCCTCTGCGAATACTTTCTGTGGACAGTGCCCCGAGCTGCTTTTGCGGATTGCAAAGGTAGAACAAAAAAAAAAAAACAGAATGTCTTTGGTAGGGTCATCCAGTTAATCAGCCTAGCAAAATCACTTGGGCCATCATCCCGTGGTAATGATTTTTGTTCTTTCAAGGAGCTTAGCCCCTAATATAATTGTATCCGTCAGGATTTGAAATTCTGAACTCAAAATCTTTTTATGAACAGCTCCATGTGTCTACCATTCAGCCTCAAAGGCTGGGTGAACTATGCCGATGTCTTTTTTTTTTTTGTTTGCCATTCTTAGCTGCCTATTTGAATTAATGTTTGGCATTGATGGAGTCATCAGAAACGAATCTATTCACAGGAGAGAGAGAGAGAGAGAGAGAGAGAGAGAGAGAGAGAGAGAGAGAGAGAGAGAGAGAGAGAGAGAGAGAGAGAGAGAGAGAGAGAGACGCTAAATGGGCAAATTTGCTGTCCACGTTGGGACTGTAGAGACAAGGATTGGAGGGAAACAAAATTGCAGTTTTAGTTCTATAAACTACTCGTCAATGCAGTACCTTGTTCCGCCGAGCACAACACAACCCGCTCACTGTACCTGCATTAAGTTGAAAATTTCAGCCAGATATGGATGTAATGACCAGGCGTTGTTTTTTTGGAACATCGGTGGATCTATTGTGGCATGTTTGTTTTTTTGAGTGAGTCTGACTATGTTCTGAAGGGGGCTACCGTTCTGTTGGGCAGGTTAACAGCAAGGTATAATATCTGCTCATCTTTGGTGCTATGGTTGAAGCTGCTGCGTGAAAGATTGTGTTACTTACTTCAATTCTCTTTTTGTGATGCGTAGAACAACGACGCATGAGCCGCAACGGCAAGCAGACGGCATGGTGCTTTGTCTGGGAGGTATGCCGTGATGCCGCCCGACTTGCGCCAGCACGGAGAACAGGTTGCCATTGACAGTGGCAGTGGCACATCGTCTATGACTGCCAGTTCGCTTCATCTTGCTCGGCAATTGCATTTCCAAGTGTGTAATGGAAGTTTAGGCACTAGTGGACAATCTTCAAGCGGTGATGGGGTTGGGGGTGGGTGTGTATCTGGAACAAGCACGGTGCCGGGAAGCATGCTGTCTCCAAGGATGTACCTGCCACTCTCGGTGCCTTCCCTACAACCTCAGCCACAGGCGCTGGCATCACCTCCCTCATTGCAGCAACAGCAACCACAGCCGGAATCCATGGCGTCCTCGCAGGAGGCTGCTGGGAACAACAGCAGCTCTCTCACTCGGATCCTTCCGACTGCCTTTCCGACAGCGTTGAGCTCTCCCAGCACAATTGGAAATGCTGGTTGTCTCAGCAAGGAGAACCCATGGAGTGCACTTGGTGTGGCCCCCCAGCAGATCAGTCGACAGGGTGGGGACGACTTTGCAGGGTTTTGCCCGGGGAAGGAGTGGGGTAGTGGTGGTCATGGTGGTGTGGATCACGGCTCGGTAACAGGAGGACAGATATGGGGTCCGATGAGTTCAGGTGGTGAGGTGCCTCAATACATCGGATCATCTCCCTCACCTGCAAAGTCGAGGTTGAGCTCGCCACTGATATCCTCTGATGCATCCACCCCGTCCACTGCCTCCACAATTGATCGGAATCATTTGCAGGGCAGTAGCTCATCGAGTGCTCCTACTCGTTCAAGAGTTGAGGAAGATGGTATGGGGTCCTGTCGCGTGAACCTTGATGGCAAGCTTGCGGAGTACGGGCAGCAGTCAGTGCTGGAGGCCCCTGAGAGCTCTTCCGAGTCCACATCGACAGTTGGGTGGAGGCGGCACTCCCCGTCAGCTTCGTTTCTGTCACGGGAGAACAACAACTTGCAAAGCAGTGTGTGGGATGCTTGGGGGAATCTCGATCCAGCACAGGCTGCTATTTCTCCATCTACGGTAAGGAGGGAGGCTTTGCAGCAGCTGTACGAACAGGGAGAGGCAGTGCAGGGCAGAGTGGGAGCGACCAGGCTAGATTCCTTGTTCCATTCAACTGACAAGCCTGTGGAGGGGACACTCCAGGAAGAGTATGCGGTTGCCAACCTGCGGGGAGCAGAGATGGGTACATGGAATTCCCTAGTCCCTGGTGTTGAGAAGGGACAGCAGCATGGGCAGCGAAATCAGGTTCCGATCTCACAAGGAACAGAAGCAGGACATGGCGCAGGTGAGTTGGTGCAGTCCGCGCGATCGGGCGATGAGGAATCACCACAATATAGAGGTCACATGGGAGGGAAGGAATCTGGCAGCGTGGGGGAGACTCAGTGGGAAATGATGGATACCATGCAAAGGATAGCCTGCATGAGCTTGTGCAACTGTCCAGACAGCGCTAACACGGGGTTTGAGGATGGGCAAGATGCCAGCATGTCATCGAGGGGTACTCTGAGAGAGGGTGTGCCATTGTCAGGTGAGGCTGCTTGGGAGGGGGACATGCGAATGGGGGGCTGGAGAGGGTTAGAGGTGTCGCAGTTGATGCATGCCGGGCAAGCAGCTGTGGGGCTTGGTGGAGGGGCAGCTATGGATGGCCATGGCACTGGCAGATCAGCTGTGGTTGGTCGGGGGAAAAGAGGAACCGTGCGGCGAAGAGATATCAGCAGGGGAGGAGCAGTCTCGTTGTCGTATGATGCTGCAATCATGGGACATTCGTCCATTGGGCGCAACTGGGCTACTCCTCTGGGCATGAGTTTGGAAGGGAGGGACATTGGGCTGGGGATGAGGGCAGCAGTCAAAGGGATGCCGGCTCCTCATGGGCCTACTGCTAATGACCAGAGGCCCGAAGCTGCGGACTCGAACACAAGTGGATGGTGGCAGCAGCACGGACTGGATGCATGGGGTGCTCTGGGTTCAAACTTGAGTTTGGATGTAAGCGGCGGATATACGGATAGAGATGAAATGGCTGCAGGCTTGAGCAGTCCCCTCAGTGCCGACAGCAAACTGGGTGGGGGAAGCATCTGGGCCACAGAAATGCCAAGGAACTTTATTGCCAACAGTGCTGCAGACAGTGAAGTTATGGTAATTGGAGCGGGACAACCCGGGCAGGGTGTGCACACAATGCTGCGTCAGAGCTTGGATTCTTTGCCAGCTGATGACAGGACTTCTGGACTTGTGACAAGGCAGTCTGCAGATTTTTGCTCTGGGAGAGGGGGAGTGCTTGAACAAAACCTTGTGAGTCCGAAATGGGGAAAAGGTGCTGAATCTCGAAGTTTCTGCGGCGCAACAGAGGGATTTCAACAGACACAACAGCAGCAGTCACAGAAGCAGCCACGGCAACTGGTACATCATTTCCAGCAGCAGCAGCAGCAGCAGCAGCAGCAGCACTTGCAACAGCAGATTCAACAGCAGCAGCATATTCAGGAACAGCTAAAGCAACAACGGCAGATGCAAGAACAGTTGCAACATCAACAGTTGCAGGAGCAACTTCAACAGCAGCAGCAGTTGCAGCAATTACAGCAGTTGCAGCAGTTGCAACAATTGCAGCAGCTGCAGCACTTGCAGCAGCTCCAGCAGCTCCAGCAGCTGCAGTTGCAGCAGGGTTTTGTCTCTGAGGGTGGACACAGAGAAGATTGGGGGGCTCGATTGGTGGGGACAGCTGACAGTACAAATGAAGAAATGCGAAGGCTGCTCATGACTGGTGACCAAACTGGCTATGGTGGCAGCGGAGCTCTGGATACGAACTTGTCCTATGAGACGTTGTCACAGCTTGGAGTGGGAGCTGAGCAGCAGGCTCGTTGGGCTATCTCTTCGGGGAATGTCACAGGCGGCTCTCCATCGGCAGCAGCAGGAGCTGGAGCAAATGCTCAGCAGCTGAGGCAGTTCATGGAGCTTGGTTTGCAACCCCCTGTAGAATGGGACATGGGAGGCAGGAATCATGCAGACAAGACAGGAGGAATTATCATGCCGGGAGGTGTAAACGATGCCTATGGTGGTAAGGGGATGGAACATCTGCAGTATGCTGGTGGTTCTTCTCTGATGCCGGCCTATCAAAGTGGGAGCACGGCATGGCAACCGGTGGATGGCGATGTGGAGCAAACAGTTCGGGCAGGCTGGTCAATGACTGAAGATGTGGTGCACAAAGCAGCCAGCGTGCAGGGATTTGGATATGGCAATCAGATAGAGATGAAAGAAACAATGACACCTCCCACAGCCAGGAGCCCGGAGCATCAAGAGATTGGGGGCAGAGCGGTCTCGGAAAGAGAGGGGGGAAGTCCTGGTGTCGAAGTCGGCAATCTTGGGAGCGGAGCAAGAATTGACCAAGCTACAGAGCAGCCAGAAGTGGATTGGAGTCTGAATCCCAGGCCTCTTGTCGGATGTAAGAATGAGGCTGGCATTTCTGGAAAGGTTATGGTGACAGAGGATGGCAGTTATAACTTGGACAACAGCAGCATGGGGAAGTTTGGCAGCGAACATGGACAGCAGCGAGAAGGTGTGGGGGAGGGGGAAGGGAGTGGAGGGAGAGGTGACGGGTCACGAGAGCAGGGCTTGAGGGTGGTGAATCGGCAGTGGCGGCCAGCACCGTTAGTCAGGCATGATGAGTCGAAAGAACCCGAGTCTGAGAAAGACGATCAGAGCCAAGTGGGAGGGGAGCTGAATCCTGTTGTGGTGAGGGAGATGTTCATGCCCAACCATCGCTCAAATACTGTTGCGAATCCCAAGGATACTTTAGGGGGGCCAGTTGGTGGCAGCGGTGGTGTTGACAGGCTGGAGTCTCCTGCATCCTTTCAAGCCTTGAATCCCGGTACTGGGTCCCTGATGATGCAAGTGTCTGGAGCCGTGATGCGAGATAAAGTGGGAAAGGGTGGGATGCCCATGTCAGGAATCCTTTCTCCGGGAGTGGGTCGTGGGAAACCGGTCTTCTTGTCCACTGTCAGATCTGGTTTTGACAGGGGTCTGCCATCTCCTCATCATGGGCGGGGCTCCGGTATGTTTGGGCGTGGGGGTACTGGCATGTTTTCCACCATAGGGACTGGGGCACGTGGTATGATGCCAGACTTGAGGTGGCAAAATCCAAGAGGAACATCCTGTCAACAGCTCCCTCTTCCCCAGCACTATATGTCTGCTGCAGCTCAGGTGCAATCTCAAATGCCAATTCCACTCCCTATGCAGATGGTACAGGGAAGAATATTAGGTGTATTGGCCGCCAGCAACATAGCAAGAGCAGGCGTGGGAGCACACGCTTTCATTGGAAGGCCGATAACACCAGTCCCACTGCCCATGCAACCTATCCGACCAGTTATACGGGCAGTGCCAACGCTTGCTGGAATTGGAATGCAAGGAAATCAAAGTGGGGTTATAATGAAAGGCACTGTGCAGCAGCAGCAACAGCTGCAGCAGCAACAACAACAGCCCCTGCAACAGACACAACAGCAGCAGCAGGCATCAAAGGTTTGGCGAGTGGTGAATGGCAGAGGAAGAGGGGGGGAGACAGTTTTTACAGGGGCAGAGGACAGGGGTGTTCTGTCAAAAGAGGGAGAATATGAGAAATGGGGAGGCAAAGTTAGTGCAGTTTCTAAGATGCGGATCGTGGGGGGTGAAATGTGGATGGAAGGTGCAAGCCTGGACAGTGGTGGAGGGGAAATCACTGCTGATGACACAGGTCGTGTGCTTGTCCGACTGGAAGTCAACGAGAAGGGTGACGGCGACCTGCCAAAAGTCAAGGTCAACCTTGTGGTTGCAAACAGCAACCACGGAAAGGAAGAAAGCCGAGTTAGCGACGACTGCGCAGGGTTTGGACCTGGGACCGGGTTTTGTGAGGAGTTGAAGGAAAGAGGATTCACTGCCTACACAGCTGCCAATATGAGTGCTGATGGCATGGGCAGCAATGAGGAGAATGATAGTGGAATGAAGGGAAGAGTGGAGGACTTTCCATGGGTGAAAGTGGCATTGATCGCAGTTGGCAATTTTTTGGAAATTGACGGTGCCATTCCGTTCAATCCTGTTAGCTCAGACCTCCCAGTTCTGCCTGCTCGTCTGAATGATTTCCGAAGCCCTGTGTTCAACTATGGTGACGAAGAAGTGCAACCCAGCGGGCAAGTGGATGACAGAAGAGTGCAAGAGGCTTGGATGGGGGATTTGCAGTCAAAGGTGGGCAAGGGTCTGTGGAGGAACAAAGAAAGAAGTGTGGTCTCCTTGTCTGCAGATGGGAATGCATCAGGTGGCATGGCTGCAAGAGCTGGTAGCAATCTTTCATCAGCTGATTTGGAAACGTGGGGTGGAGCAATTGGCACAGAAACGGTTGTCGACGCTTCAGAGTTGTGTCCCAAGCCAAGTGTGGCTGACGGAAGTGGGCCATCGATCCAAATCTGGGTGGGAAAAGACCATCTGATTGGGCCTGGCAGTGATCTTCAACATGGTTCTGCTGGGCGTGACTATTCAATGGTCACTTCTACAAGTGTACTGGGAACTTCGCTGCCATGTGATGGGACAGAATATGCAATGGGAGCACGCCGGGCTCTTGTGAGATCTCAGGAGTCCCCAGTCTTTGTGAGAGTGATCCTCTCAGTTGAGAACAGTCCCCGTGTGTGCGATGATGATGGGATGGTGGATGGCGTCAGCAAGACTCCTGCCAGGGATGTGAATTGTCATAACCAACCTCTGAATGGCCAGGGGAGCTCTGTGAACAAGGAGGTAGAATGTGCCAGGAGTGATGACCTCAAACATCCATTCGGACAGAATGATGAGAGACAGTCTCTGGGCTGTTCGACGATTGTGATGGACGTTGGCGAGGCTTCTCTTGATGGAGGCGAGAACGTAAATGCTAGCCAAAGTACGCAGCAAGCCAGTGCAAGTTGCATGACTGTGAAATCCAACAAGTGGTTAGAGGAGGTGGAGGACCAAGATGTTCCAGAAACTCTCGATACTTGGGAGAGTTCGATTGATTCCGAAGGTGAGGACGATGGGAGTGAGATTTCACTCTTATCGCAAATGGAACCGAGGGATGGTGGCAGCTCGGGAGGTAGTGGGAAAAGTCTGGAGGGTAGGGGGTTAAGCCCTGGGATGGAGGGAGATTTCAATGTTGTGGTGGACACAAGAGCGAGTTTTGACGATAGACGGGGCAGGTTTGAAGTGCCTAGCGGTAATGAGCCGCTGTCCGGGTCATCATTGAGAGGACCGTCATCTGTGAAGTTGGACGACAAAGTTGAGGCTGTTTTTGTTGCTGCTCTTGCAAACTTACAGCGCAAGCGGTCCGTTCCCTTTGACATCAACAGGATTAATCACGAGGTGAGGAGATGTCTGTGTTTCCTTCGTCCACAGCACATTTGTTCCGTCTATCTATTTCCCGCTTTGAAACAAATTTGCATCTGATCTCATCTCTTTTCCTATTATCTGAGCCTGTTCCAAGACTTCCATTGGTGGTTCTGCCGCTGATTTTCCCCTTGTAGCATCTTATCCCTTGGGCTTTCATTTGTGCGGTGTCGTTCTTGGGAAACATGCATTATACTGTAGTCTAGTTGGGTGTCAAATTGTTTTCTGTTGTCTTTGTTTACTGTGGAGTTTTGGAGAACTGCTCCCATCAACACATGATTGGATTCCATAATAGTGCATATCCTTTTGATAAATTCACGGACTTTCTCCCTCTGTAGCTTGTGTTGTATTGTGGCTCTCAAGCACATCCATAGCATTATGTTATCCGCTCCATGAACAACTGACGTGGCATGATGATGGCTCTGGATTGATCTTTGGGCGCTGATAGCCTGCTTTGGATGTTGGCTGCAGATGAAAAGGATCTTACCAGGCTTTCATGTGCGCAATACACAGTACCAGCGGTTCGTGGAGCTGAGCAGGGCAATGTCAGCAAAAGTGTGTGAGCCTTCTAACTTCACACCATTTCTTCTGTATTCTTACCCACCCTTATGCTCTTCTCCTTTATTTCCCCTCCCTCTTCTGTTTGTTTTGCCTGTCTTCCCCTTCCTCATCTCCTACCGTCTCCTCTCCCTCTTCTGTTCTTTTTTCTCCTTTCTCTCTCCTCCC